CACAGGGACCGCGGTTCGATCCCCCAGCACCACATGCCAGCCAGCCCCCACCCCCGTGGGCTGAGCTGGCCACACACACACACACACACACACACACGTAAATAAATAAATTTAAAAAAAAAATTTTAAGGCAGGGTCTTGATAAGTCCCTAAATTACCCAGCGAGAGCTTGAATTGATCCTCCAATCTCAGCCTGGGATTACAGTCCTGGAATTACAGATATGTGCTATCATCTCTGATTCTCATCACTATTTTATAAGCAAAAGCAAACCAGTAAAGAGTTTTAAACTGAGTCCTTCATATGTATTATCTCATTTAGAGTAGTTATTACTATACCTAAAGCATCCTAAGCACCACATCAATGGGATCTATTATTTCCTGTTTATGTGTCTTATCACTTGGATGGAAACTTTCTGACTAGGATCTTAGATCTTTTTCTCTTTCCATGGAGCTGGGAAAGAGAACCAGGGTCTCACACATGCTGACAAGAACTCTTACCACTGAATTCCATGCCCAACTCTTTTTGTTTTTTGAGATAGGGTCTTGCCTCCTGAGTATCTGGGATTACAGGTATATGCCAGTTGTACTCTGCCAAAGGCAAAGTAAAGGGCACAAAGTAGATCATTCATTAAAACTTGTTCACTGCATATAACTCAGGCTTTTCCAGAGACTGTGATCAACAGATACGAAACTGCATCTCTTATATTTTATACTACTGAGCAGCTGTATAGAACTGGGGTTGAAAACTGTGGCCTGAGGCATCAAGGCAAGTGTGAAGTATATTGACATTCTAAATGCTCAATTTATTAAACTGAGATCATATATAAATCTGATTTATGACCTTCTCCAAGGCCTATAAATTCTACAATTTTTTTTATATTTTGTTTTTTTTTTTTTAAATTTTATTTATTTATGTGTGTGTGTGTGTGTGTGTGTGTGTGGCCAGCTCAGCCACCAGGGGGTGGGGTTGGCTGGCATGTGGTGTTGGAGGATTGAACCGCGGTCCCTGTGCTTTGCTAAGCTTGTTCTAAGTAGGTGCTTTAGACCACTGAGCCATCTCACCAGCCCAAACAAACCCTTTTTTTTTTTTTTTACTTTTTTTTTTTTTTGGTGGAACTGGGGATAGAACTCAGGCTCTTGCGCTTGCCAGGGAAGCGCTTATTCCACTGAGCCATCTCCCCAGCCCCCTATATTTTGTTTTCATTTCCATGAATAATTAAAAAAATAAAAAGTTCTTCTATTGGTTATAAAGATAAATCTTTAGTAATTTGCAACCAAAAGACATTTCCTTAGACTAAAGCTTTTGTTTTAAAGTCAGGACTTCTCAAACTGGAGTGCCCTGAGCTTATGAATCTATAGGAGCGGGGGACTACCAGTGTTGGACACTTGCTGTACATGTTCGAGGTCCTGTCTCAAACCCCACTACACCTCCAAAAGAATTTGTGATTTTTTAAAATAAAGAGTAGTATATTTTACTCAGTATTGCCTTTTTAGCTTGCTATATTTTAAAACAATGTTAGTAAAGTTCTGAAGCAGTGTAAGCTTAATAATTTAAGGAACCAAATGTCCCATTTTGTGCTCATTCAGGCTAATGCCAATCTATACTGTACTTAGAGAAACGTTTTACAATTTAAAAAACACCTTTACTGCCTTGGACTTCGCTGTTTCAGAATGTCTAGCATCCTACACAAGTTCAACGATGACTGTAGGGGACAAAGTGGCATAATACCAGAGCAGGCACGAGCCCGCCCCTTAACAGGTAGGACAGGGAGCAGTTCTGACGAGGGGCAGTGGCTTTGTGAGAAAGTGAGGAACTTTTTGATTGTTAAAATGATGGAACAGAGGGGAAAAAGCATGCAAACTGCCATGGTAGGGATGAAAAGATGTTTAAATATTCCTCAGTGCTGATGCATTCTATATACTGGATTATGAAGAACTGTCTATTTCACTAACAATTTTTTTTAATATCTCAGCAAACTTTTTAATTATCTAAGCCTCAAACTCAATTCCATTTGTTTTGGTGGTGGTAAGGACACACTTTCTAGATTCAGTAATTTCCAGGTCATGTAAGACAAATTAAATCCAAGGAAAAACTGTTCTTAGTTTTGTTGAATTTATGAAGAGTAGTCTGCCATTTAAGAAAAGGTAAGCATGAACTACATAGTGAGACTAGCCCCTCAAAACCCATAACAAACAGAAAAAGAAACTCACAGAGATACAACAGTACTGAATTCTGCAATATTAATCTGTTTTAGCCTATAATTTTTTTTTTTTTTTTTTGGAACCAGGGATTGAACTCAGGCCCTTGCACTTAAGTGCTTATTCCACTGAGCCATCTCCCCAGCCCCTTGTTTTAGCCTGTAATTGACCAGTCCCAATTTTTTTTGTGGTATTAGGAATTGAACTTTGGACCTTGCACTTGCCAGACAGGCAGCACTTATGCCACTGTACTCTCTCTCCAGCCCAAAGTCCCAATTTTGGTGACTTTGTAGATAGGTAAATACACAGGACTATATCATGCTTTGTAGGGCAGTTGTGCACAAACATTTATAAAGTATATATAATATATCTTATTATGAATTACTTTATTTCTCCTGGTTATTACAACTAAAGCATTATGTTGCTTTTTAAAAAGTTCCTAGCCTGGTGTGGTGGCCTGTAATCCTAGCACTTGAAAGACTGAGACAGAAGGATCATTGCAAGTTTTAGGCCACACTGGACTACATAGTTCAATGCCAACCTGAGCTACATAGGGAGTCCTTGTAGGTAGACTGCATCAATTACATTTTAGGGCTAGAAAAGAGCTGTATGGCTGATAGCTTTCAAAACTATGAGTCTAAAAAGCATGCTGAGGCAGCCCAAAAAACTGTCACAGAGAATGTATACAATAGCAGGAATTATGGAAAGAATCATAAACCTGGTGAGGTGGCACATGCCTATAATTTCAACTATTCAGGAGGCTGAGGAAGATCATAGTTTTAAAGCCAGCTTGGACAACTTAGCATGACTTTACCTCCGAATGAAAACGTAAACCCCTAGATTCTATCCCAGGAATGGGGGGCGGGGAGGGGAGAAGAAGAAAAGAAACACAGTAGCAGATCAGTAAAGTCACTCTGGGTTCAAGTACATGTAGAACATTTCACTACTTTGGTTATTTGGGGAAGACAATTTCTTCAAGCTTCCTTTTCTTCAACTGTAAAAATGGGTGTAAGATTACCCATCTCAGAACTAATATAATTAGTAAGTCATAGGCATCAAGTAGAACACTTTCCACTTCACATCTGTCTATAGGATTCATTTTTGGGGCAAAACAATTTAGCTCCAGGGGGCTGGCTCTGGTCAGTTCTGAAACTTTTACTGGCCACACTGGTACAGTAAAATGAGTCCTAGGCCTGGGAAATCTTGGCTTGAAGTCCTATATGTTACCAGGTGTGAACCTCTTTAAACTTCAGCTTCTTCTTCTTCTTTTTTTTTTTTTTTTGGTGGAACCCGGGATTGAACTCAGGCCCTTGATCTTGCCAGGCAAGTGCTTATTCTACTGAGCCACCTCCCTGGCCCCAAGCTTCAGCTTCTTAAATCAGGACAAGAGTGCAAACCTTACAGAGTTGCTCTGAGTTCTGCATGAGTTAACAAAAGTGCTTAACATAGTGCCTAGTACAGAATAAGTATTTAGTATAATGTTGGCCTATGATTGTTCTCTTCTCAGCATAACTGGGCATAACAAATGAAAATGATAAAGTGCTTTCTAAACTAAAGTTAAGTCAATTTTCATTTACTTAGCACTTGTATTACTATATACTTAACTTGTGGCCAGGGAGATAGCTCAGTAGAATAAGCACTTGCCTGGCAAGAGTCCCGGTTCCACCAGCAAACAAACAAACAAACAACAACAAAAACCCAAACCCAACTATATACTTAACTTTTGGGGGGAGGAGAAATGGTACTGGGATTTAAACCCAGGGCCTAGGTTCAATCCCCAGTACAGAAAATAAAGGTAACTGGGGCTGGCCCGAGAGATGGCTCAGTGGTTTAAAGCACCTACTTGGAACAAGCTTGATAAAGCACAGGGACCGTGGTTCGATCCCCCAGC